GTCCTCTCCTCCCCCAGAATGAGCGCTCTTGGGCGGATGGCAGGCGCGCAGTCACCCCGGTGGTTTCCAAGGGCCATAACTTTCTGGTCCTTTATCCCCCGCGCGTCAAATTCACACCGCGGGTGCCCCGGGACCAGGGGAGTCCCTGGGTCCCACCCCCGTGTCTCTACCCTCCCTGGCTCGGCTTTGAGGAGCCCGGAAAGCCGGGCTTCCTTCCCCTGGGAATGAGCGCTCAGGCCCGGGTCTGAGCGGGAGCAAAGCCCTCCCCGGTGATAGCCCAGAACCGGAGGAGTGCGTGGGTGAAAACCCCGTGTCTCTAGCACCCCTGGTTCGTTTTTGACAAGCCGTGGAAGCCGAGCTTCTCCTCCCCCAAAATGAGCGCTCTTGGGCGGATGGCAGACGCGCGGCCCCCCGGTGGACACTCTGCAAGGGCCATAACTTTCCGGCCCTTTATCCCCCGTGCGTCAAATTCACACCGCGGGTACCCCGGGACCAGGGGAGTCCCTGGGTTCCACCCCCGCGTCTGTAGCCCCCCTGGCTCGGCTTTGAGGAGCCCGCGAGGTCTCTTCTCTCTTCCGGTGTCGCAAATAATAATAAAATGAAATAATAGTAATGCCATAATTCTTTTGAGAATTTTAAACAACTAGAGCCAAAACAAACACATTGATATTGAAGCATAAAGGATTTATTTTTTTATTCAAGTTTAGAAAAGGAAAAGAACAATAAACGAATGGAAATTTTGATTTTCTGATTTTATTTTGAAACGGAATAACTAATGATCGAAGGGTACACGGATTCCTCAACTATGTTAACATTTGATATTTTGTTTCTCAGACTGAGTATCTAAGTTAGAAAATAGAAATCAGAAATACCATCACATGGTCATTTAGGTTGTCAGTTCCGTTTATGATATCCAGCTGGTTTGGTTTCTTGTTAAACAGCAGCGGAACTACATGAAACGTGTGGAGATCATCGGCTGTAAATATATATATTTCTATGGACAGTTTCAGAAGAGCTGCGGGGGCTTGAAAATGTGAAAAAACGCATTCGCGCATGTGTCAGCCGGCACGAGCCCCGTTCATTTAAAGGAATAGTTCACCGTTTTTACATACTGACATATGTTCTTACCTTACCTTAGACTAGTTAATACGTACCTGTCTGGTCTTAGTCCGTGCGCTCTGTCATGCAAACGGAGCAAAAACGGGAGCACAAATGCAGCCTCCTCTGTATATTTTGTAGCACCAAAAGGTAGCTCCCGCTAGAAGCTACCAAACTCTTCCAAGTGTTCCCCTATTAAATGTATATAGTTACGTGACGTGTTACACTGCAAAGTATAGTAACACAGAAATGTAACTGTCGATTTTCTCAGCGGATAAAACGGGTACTATATTGTGAGGCGTAGTAATCTGAGGTGCGCTACGTCCGCGCACTAACTTCTCTCCGGAGACTTCTCTCTCGCTCACTTCCGTCAATAGAAGCAGCGTGAATTGTAGTGCACACAGTAGCAGCGAGAGAGAAGTCTCCGGAGAGAAGTTAGTGCGCGGACGTAGCGCTCCTAACTTCTCTGCGCACTAACTTCTCTCCGGAGACTTCTCTCTCGCTGCTACTGTGTGCACTACAAGTCACGCTGCTTCTATTGACGGAAGTGAGCGAGAGAGAAGTCTCCGGAGAGAAGTTAGTGCGCGGACGTAGCGCACCTCAGATTACTACGCCTCACAATATAGTACCCGTTTTATCCGCTGAGAAAATCGACTGTTACATTTCTGTGTTACTATACTTTGCAGTGTAACACGTCACGTAACTATATACATTTAATAGGGAACACTTGGAAGAGTTTGGTAGCTTCTAGCGGGAGCTACCTTTTGGTGCTACAAAATATACAGAGGAGGCTGCATTTGTGCTCCCGTTTTTGCTCCGTTTGCATGACAGAGCGCACGGACTAAGACCAGACAGGTATGTATTAACTAATCTAAGGTAAGGTAAGAACATATGTCAGTATGTAAAAACGGTGAACTATTCCTTTAACTAGTGCCTTCAAAATTCCACAGCAACTAAACTAGACTGGTCCAAAGAATACACTCCCTTCAGCATTGACACATCTGGAACGTAGCTTTGGGCCGAGAGCCAACTTTTGGACCATTCTGTAAAGCCGTTTTCGACAGGTATGAAGATGCTATACATAAGCATTGACTAATTCTTATTCTGGGTCCACCCCCATTGGCTCGGGGTGGTATTGCGCGCATGTCAGTCATTTTGGACATTTTTGAGCCGGTACCCACCCCCACTGGTGGCACAATTTTGGATTTTATTTGTACAGACGAAGCGGTGTGCCAGCTCTACATGCAAAGTCAATAGTGCCATACATCTGTTTGTATAATGAGTTGAGTACAGCACTTGAAAGGAGAACGAAACTTGAAAGGAAAAGAAAGACCCTTGAAAACAAGAGTCCAAAACATGAGCTTAACTGAGATTAAACCAGGACTGACAATGGAGGACGCAGTGCTTGTGGACAAATCCCTTGATCCTGAGTGCTGCTGACAAGATCACGAGATGGATGTACCGGTGCTCAATCTGGCGCACCTCTATTACGTCTCTGGAGGATCTCGGGACCCAGACAGTGCAGTTCAGTGGGATTTCTGCTAGCTCAAACGGATCTGCCTTCAAAGCCAGCTTACATCTTCCGGTATGCGTTTTCCACAACCTGGATTTTTAATAAACAGACTTCTGAAACGCAAAACCGGGAATGGGCCTTAAAGCAAAACTGACATTCCCAAAAAAATCATCTCATCCATAAAAGTATTTGTCGTGGGTTACTTCAGAAAAAATACAGGCGAGCTCGGATTGCCGTGATTATTTGTGTTTTTCCCCAAAGTGCATAAAAATTGGTGCAGGCAGTGCAGAGCATATGTACAGTGAATTTAGCAGAAGAAAAAAACCAACAGGACCCGCTCCGTCACAGTATTGCTTCGTTTATGTTGACTATCTGCCCCAAACATTCCATTCAAGTAAAAACATCTCAAGTAATCAGTTCTTCACTGGATAATCCTCCCATAATGTTTTGTATCATATTGCTCATAGACAAACAGACCTTCTGAATACATGCACCGACTACTGGTACGGTGCATTTTTCATTTGATGTTGACAATATGTTGGTTATCTTGTTCTTCTTTTTTTAAACAGACCTGGAGTTGTTTTTAGATCCATTCAAGCTACAATCAGGAATTTCTGGCACAAAAATGTAACTCTTCTATCTAAAAGCCTCTATCTCAGTCCTGCAATAGAGTGATGCTCTTTACAATAGCATGGCTGTGTTTGGTGGTAGTTTAGAGAGTAGCTTGCAGGTATTTTCCACTTACATTTTATTTCGCATTCTAAAAGAAATGATGAAGTAAAACGTCTCATTTTCATTTTCAATATAAAAAAATAATACAATTCTGTTCTTGGCTATTCCAAATTCCTGTCTTGTATTCTCCTCCCTACAACCATCTTCAGTGATGCCCTTGACTTGTTTACAATGATTCTTTTACATACACAAAGATGGTTACCTTCAGGAATGGCCGCCTCCATCAATATTTAATGCTTTGTGTTCGCTGACATTCACTTCACTTTAAAAGAGGGCCACACTTTTCTTTTATGATTGTTTTTATTCATGATATATTTCAAGACATGATGTATTTCAAGCAGCGATTACAGCCCTTACCACTCTTGTAACTACCCCCCGGGGCGTCAGTCTGATAAGTGGCATACAATGGTTTCCCGATGAATTCACAGCCTGATAGGACCAGGATAATGCGCAAAAAAGCTACTTCAAAGGATTCAGTGTGCCTCTAGTGGTCAACCCTGGGACATGCACCCTCTGCCTTAAATGAAATTTTGCTCGTATAGAGGTAAAGATTCATCCTGTGACTTTGGTGAGGATCAGAACATGTTTAGTTGTGTATTTTCACACCATTCAAGCCAGTGATTTGAGTGAGTGAGTGATTTGAGTTTCAGCTCTATAGGTCTTGGACATGAGAACATAAAACAAGAAGAAATTCTTTGCCACGTTGCATAAAACGGTGATGAAATTCTTATATCTGAGAACAAAATGTGGGGATATTTTTCTTTCAAAGCTGTTTTAATATCGCGTGATATCACTAAAAACAAACCAGGATCAATGTTGGGTTAGAGTAGGGCTAGGGATTAGAGGTTATGGATAGGGCAAAGATTCATTATGGTGAGGACTAGGGTTTGGTTTAAGGTTATGGTAAGGTAAGGTTAAATGTTAGGGTTAGGGTCAAGTCCATTGACGAGTCAGACTTTTAAAACATATTTTGCACACGTCAACGTCTTTTTAAATAGAGTCAATTTGACTTTCCCTGAATTGCCCTGTCCAAACCTATGGCACAGACATATGTAAATTATATGTTAATCTCTATTAGAATTTCTTGTGTCTGTCTCCAGTCGCGGTGAAAATTAATTTAGCTTACTGCTGTATAATTTGCATACATGCTGGATGTTATCTTAGGCGTAGGAGGTCAGAGGAAGAGCACGGCTAAATGCTTCAGCTAAAACATGAAGCAGCTTAAACCCGAATAGTGATGACTGAAAGCTTTGCAGACTCTAAACCACTAATAATGATAAAGAGAGGGTTTGTAAACTTTGCCCATAATTGAGTCCTGTAGCCTGGCTGACAGTGCTAACTTACTGTTTATTATCCAAAGTAGCTAGGCCTCTTGTTATGTGGAGACATGTACTTATTTATTTGATACAGAGTGCATATTTATGAACATAGAATAAATCAACCAGGACTAGATAAAGCTAAAAAAGGATAGATCGTTTTCTCACTGATTTATCATCAGTGTTAAAACACTTTGATTTTTGCTCCATCAAAAGTCAAAACTCTTTCCTTTCAGCTCCTTCAGGTTTAGGATTGATATAATTTCCTTCTGTTTAAATTCTTTCTTGGTTTAATCCAATTTGGATCATACCTTTTGAGATATTTCTCATGTCTCTTGCAGGTGATTCTGTCGTCCACTCACAGCACTTACATCCCAGACAAACTGTGTTTTCTTCTGGATGATGCTAAAGAGTTGGCGGCCCAAACCACTCTCTGGAACCTTGGTAACTCACGACATTTATCTCCCTCCAATTTTACACTGATTCAATGTACACTTTTAAATTCAATTCTTGTTCTTTTTACTTTAGTCCGACTCAAAGCCCAGTGCGAAAAAAATGTAAATCTGAAATTAAATGTTGCCTCTCGCCGGCAGAGGGTGATAGTTTTGTGGACAGTTTTTACAGGTTTTCACATTTTATTTTTGCTTCTGCCATTGGACTGTGGCTGTTTCTTTTTTCTTTCTTTTCACCATTGTTTCTAAGAAATTGAAAACAAAAAAATTATAAGCAGTATTTTCGACGGGCACAGATTTTATCATTTTTTTAAATTCAAGTTTCTTCTCGCACAGTGAACAGGCACCGTAGCGGAACAATCTCAAAGTCTGACTCTGACACAGTTAAACCTCATCTCTGAGCTGCAGTTTTGGAGAGAGTCATTGCCGTGATTACAACTTTTAACTTGATAAAGGGCTTTTAGCAGGCTTGTTATTGGGCCAAATTAATTTATGATGAAAACATTGCTTTTTATTATAAAATGTATATATTAGGCATGGGCTACTTTTTCAGAATAAAAAATGGGTTAAATATATTATCATTTCTGATTATCATATTCTGGCCACCCTGGGAAAGCCATGTTCCAGCTTCTTCCCTCTGGCAGAAGATATCGGTCGCTGAGATGCAAGACATCTCGCTATGCTAACAGCTTCTTTCCACAAGCTGTTAGGTGCCTAAACAGAGCACTTTAATTCCTGCTTTTACCCCTTGTATCGTTTTGTTGATCCGTGCCACAGTGTCAGCTGTTTTTTTTATATTCTTTTATATTCAGTGTATGTGTATTTTATATTACATTGTATCGTGTTCTTTATTCTGTCGGTGCACACAGAGTACCTTTCTTTGCAAATGTATTCCAATGTAGTTTGTTTACTGCACATGGCTAATAAAATGAATCTGAATCTGAATCTGAATAAACTTTACCTATACTGGTGTGGATTCTAATATTCCACCCACGGTTTTAATTCTAAATTATGTAAACGTTCTTTTGCTCATGTTTTGTCTCAGACACAGTGCTGCAAGGGGGCATGTCCTGTGATTCTAGCCCCTCCTCTCCTCTGCAGACTCCGCCCCCTGTGTCTTCACCGCTGCTGCAACCTCTGACTTCCTGCCTGCCCCTCCCCGTGTCTCCCCTGGGCCCACCTCCCAGCCAATCACAGCGCCTCTTCCTCGGCCTTTACTAAACCACGTGAGTTTAAAATCATTTACAGTTACCATAAAAATAAACTGAATAATAGACCAACATTCCTTGGTCCAGAAGTTCAAAGGTATTTGAGGAGAACTAATACCAATACAAATACAGGGATCAAGAGTTCCGAGCTTCCGGCTCAACCGCACGGCATTGTGGGTAGTTTTCTCAAAAAAGTGGGCATCCAATCACGCTCTCCTATTAGATTACCTGTTGCGAGCGTGATCTGTCTCTCTTTTTTCCAGCCCATCAATTGTTTTCATCGCTACAAAAATCACCAATTTCAGACTTTTAGAAGGTATGGTAAAGACTACCATAGATGGACAGGCTGTAGCTGAGTCCAGGACGGAAGTAGAAAACAATCTGATAGTTTTGTGGAAGGAAATGAAAATTGCAAGTGATTATGGTTTATGTCATTCCTCTCATCTATATATGTTGTAATTCCAACTATAACAAGATTAATACTATTATCATTATTATTTTTATTAAAGCTGCGTTCACATTTATCTATGTTCACGTTGCTAAGTCGATGGTGGAGGGTTTTGGCAGTGCTTCACTACTGCTAACTTCTCTCCTACATTTTTTTCTCTTTGCAGAAATCCTGGGTTCACGTAGAACTCCCGCACTGGCCTCAGACTTTGATCTTATCTCTGGACTACAGAAGGTTTGTTGTGTTTTGACAGTTCCTCCCTTCGAGTCCCGTTCAGATGTTTTGGAGTTTTCATTCTTCTGACGTCAAAATGCTTCTGTGTATTTTCTATTGAGTGACAGAATTGTAAATGTTTCAGACTGCGTTTAAACATTTTTTTTATCTTTGCATTCAAAGAGAAATTTCTTGCCTCACTTTTGAACTATTGAGGGTCAACACATGTGGAACACATGGTGCAACAATTTCTCAAATTGGTTGTGAATTGCACAGACTGAGACTTTAATATCAGAGCAGCAAACAGGAGCTGCTTCAACCCTGGCGCTTATGACTGGTTTTAGTTTTTTACTCAATCAATCCTTCCTTTGGTGTGACAAACCTTGTGGCATATAGTTCATACTCACTTTTTTGAAAAGTAGACTACTGTCTATTTTGTTTCCTCAAACTAGGCAAGACATCCATTTTATATACAACCATCTTAACTACATTCAGCCAGTGGAGTCTAACCCGTCATTTGCACTTAAGGACTAGAGATGGGACAATATTAACTTATCAAACTGTATCAATATTGAGTAAATCATCATATCCTTAACCAGAATGGAACCAGGGCTGAACCAGGACTTACCCAGGATTTATAAGGACTTAACAAGGACTAAATCTGGACTGAACCAGAACTGAACTAGGACTGAACCAGGACTGAACCATGATTGACTTTTGCTCCTGTCTGTTTCTCTGGTTTCATTTGAATTCCTTTTTTGAGAACACTTTTAACCTGGAGTCTAATTTAACTTTTAAAAATACTTTAATTTTATGTTTATAAGATATACCTAACAGAAACAAGTATTCAAGTTCTCCTACAAAAAAAGGTCATAGAGTGCTAAATAAAACAAGAATATTGAAGGGTATACAGATCTGAGACTTTTTCTTTTCTCCTTATGGCAAATGTTCTTGTTATTTCTCTGATAAAAGTTTTCCTTTTGTTTCGTTCAAGAGTAAGAATATCAACCAAATGTCTCGTCACTTTATAACAACAGTTTATTGTATTTAGATTTGAGTCAACCACATGTGAATATCTTTTTTTTTTCCCCTTTTCTTCCATTTCTAGAATATCAAAATTCAACATATGTATTTGTACATAATGTAATGTTAAAACTATTATAAAATATACTTTAAAAGCACTGTAGAAATAATAATACATTTTATTTGAATCGTTATGTTAATGAGAATTCTGTAAAAAAAAATATATATATATATCACAACCAAAGATTTTAGATGAGAAAATAGAACATGGACTTCCTGTTGAGCGAGTCATAAGGGCTTCATCATTTCTGCTCTTTATTTCCATCAACTGATACAGAAATTAATAATATGTAAAAAATAAAAATAAAAATCAGGAAACACGCAGTTTATGATTAGGATAAAATATTGCTGGGAAAATCTGTATAAAGTGAAATTAATCTGATGTATTTATTTTAAGTTGTATAAGCAGTTGAACTCTGTATGGACCAACTCCTCCATGTTTAGTCCCATAGATTTAATATAGTTTCCTTTTTAATGTTTTGTACATTTGATTTTAATTTCTATATTTTTTCTTGTTTTTCTTTAAGCGTACTTCCTTTATTTATTGTCCGTTTTTGCCCAAAATGTTATGAATAAATTTGACTTGATGTTTATTTGTAGCGCAGGGTTTCCTAAAGTTCCATGTGTCCGTTTCTCTGTTACTGTTTCAAAGCTAAATGGAATATGCACTCGTAGAGCCCATACCCCGCCGACACCAGGGATCATCTTGCAATTTGAAAGCAGTCTTCCTTCCATCACCTAGACACCAACTTTCAGACTGATTCCTGTAGTAGATTTGCACTATCTAGCCGACAGACAAGACACATGCAGTTTGACTAATTTGGCAGTGAAACTCAATGGGAATGTTGAAATTATGTTTAGTTTATGAGTCTACAAGGCGTATTCCATATTCTGTCTCATATCCATGGAAGTGTACAATCTGAAAAGTCGACAATGATATATTTTATGTCGGGTAAAATAAGAAGTATAAATATCTCGTGAAAAACAAAGGGTAAGGAGTGCTGCGTGGTACAAGCGTGTAAAATTATTAATAAGACCAGGTACTCAATTGGAAGAGGGGTTTGACTTAGTAAAAAAAAATTGAGTTTTGACTTTCCAGGTAAAAGGCAAATTATGAAGATCTTAGACAATCAAAAAATCTAAGGCACTCGTGGTCAATAGTTTAGAAAGTTTAAAAGCCTTTATTTTCTCATGGCTGTAAGTTTCAGCCTAGCTTGGCCTCTCATGTTGATTCTGAGTTGGACATAAGACTGTGCAGTTCTCCTGTGGCCATTGGTGAAGCTCTCTGTGTGTGGATTTTTTTTCTTTCAAATCGATTGATATTAACCGTGGAATTCTATGGGGCGTTATATGTCGAGCCTATAACACCCCAAGACGAATCAAATGTGGTGGATCCAGGACAAATGTGGGTATTCGCGTTTGTCGACCCTCTCTCAGTCCTTTAGTGTTCCTCACGGCTCAGATTCTGTCAGTTCTTTTTTGTCTGTTTTTTTGGCTGGTGTTAAATCTCGTTCTCGCTTCAGTGAACTCCATCAGCTCTGCTCCACTTCCGCCCAAAAGAAAACAAATCACCAGACAAGTCACAGACTTTACTTTTAATAGAAATCTACAAACGTTATTTTGCCATTGTCCTCCATTGGTGCAGAGAGGAATGTCAATAGCAGAAGCAAATAGGCATGACCTGACTCTTTCAATTAAAACAAATCATTTATTAATCCTTGGTTTGAACTAGCGCACAAGTTTATATGAATTTAGAATTCAATCAAAGTTTTAATATCACACAGCCACATTTTTTAATCCGTTTTCGGGAGGTCCTTCGGCACACGTGAAGTTCAACATTAGCATTTCAGTTAATTTGCAAAGTCGTTTTCTCCAGACTCCATATCCTCCATAAGCAGAATGAACTGAATCGGACACTAGATTAGGCGGATATTGTTTTAATTCTCCGAAGTCCTGGACAAATGAAGGTCGTTATTAATATTCAGCAGCACTGATCATACAGAGTCTGGGGAAATATGATCCAAGACTTGTTTAATCTGGACTAAAAACTACTCTAAAAGACCTCAAGCAAAGAGCACACTGTTTAACCATCACACCATTGTTCCTGGACTGATAAGATCCATGAACGCTAAATCAGACAATTACCTCACAAAGAGAGAGTGTCCAAAGAGAGGTTCTTTGTTGTTTCTGGACGTGGACTGCAATTTAAAGGCATTTATCCATTCAACTCCAGGGCATTCTCAAACCCCTATTTCACTATAAATCATGTTTCCACCCCCATGCTTCACGGTGGAGATGGCGTTCTTGGGATGCAGCGCCAGGCAAGTTCCCCTGCTTAAGCCAGCTCATTCCCAGGCCCATCCAAAATTTTCCAGTGTCCATCTGGATGATCCCGAAGTGGCCTGAGTGAATATCATGTAGTGAGATGAGCTGAGAAAAAAAATGGTATAAAGTCTTTGGAGGGAAAAGAATACAGAGTTGCATACCAAAACCATAATTTCTTTTGGACAATGTCATAAAAGAAATCAGTTGCTGTGCTTCCATTTTCAGATAGATAAACACTTCTTATTTTTAGGAGAAATTAAACTTCAGCAACTAATACTTAAAATATGTAACCCAGGAGAAAGCCCCCTCATAAACAGTGTTCAATGTAGAAGCTCACAGAAGCAGTAGTAGTAGTCTGTAGTAGTTTGTAGTGCAGAGTCAGGCTTGTGAATGAGGCCACTGCTTTAAGCCCTCTCTCCGGGGATGCAACGAGCCAGATGGATGTCCCGTGGCATGATGGTCACCCTCACAAACCTCCATATCATTTGCTTTGCGCCTGCCCCATTATGTCAAAAGATGTGAAACGTCTATTTTGCATGTTAGGTCTCCTTTAAATCATCTGGATCTACACCAACTGTCAAAAATATATGTTATTCAAAGCTGCTTTTCTTCCTCATATGTCCCATACTATAATTTGGTGTAAATATCGTTTCAGTTGCATGTCATCTCTTGTCTGGTTAATCCGTATGTGGATGCCTGCTGGTTGTATATTCACACATAGACATTTGTGTTATTGTGGAGGACTTGCAGGCGCTCAGTCACAGCAGCAGCCGTCACAGAGACTCAGAGTGAAGGAATCCCACTGCTTAAAACCCACACGACTCTCAACGTGTTTGTGAATCTGCCTCTAGTCCTGGTTTACGCCCCACTAAACCTGCTCTCAAACTACTAAACCCACGATAAAGTAGAGTTACTCCAATGGTAGATGCTGAAAGTCGATAATTAAATGATCGGGTTTTTATAAATGTTTTAAAGACTATATGTCCTCGAAAGATATAGAGTATGTTTCCTGATTGCCACTTTTATTGTACATAATATATCCTGCATTTAACATGTTTGCACATTTCTTTCTTTTTGCACAATCTTGAGTGTTTCTATCCATGCCAGATGTGACATGTACATTTCTCCTTTGTGAGATCAATAAAGTATATCTTATCCTATCTTATGACTTAGGAGCAAAACATGTAGCTGCAAGATTTATGGAAATGATTGCAATTAGAACATAACAAAGTATATTTTTGAAATCCTTTGCAAATATACAGAAATAATCTGTCACACATCTAGAAATTAACAGTTAATGTTTTAGTCTTCCTTCCATTCCTTCAATTCTGTTGAAAATAGTGCATTAATCATGGCATTTTCAGCCTTGAATTAATAACTGTTTTGAAGACATTTCTGACCAGTGATTACACATTAATTATAAAAGAATAGTTATATATAAACAAAACATAAGCCCCTATATGTTAGCAAAATGCTTTGTATCAATATTTATCTAGTTATAAAATTCCTCTTGCCGTGGTTTTGACAGAACTAAATAACCAAAACTGAACTAGGTCCATTGACATTCTGTTTATCACAGAGAATAAATATTGAGTCCAAAGAAGGCCTGTTCTGTCCCTGTGCCCCGCAGGTGTCCAGAGCATGTCTGAGGCTCGCCACAGATTAGATTCACAAGAATGTTC